ATGTGTGAAAATTTACCACATTACCCTTACTGAGATATAATTTTGATTTTTTTTTTTAGCTGTTAGATCATCCGATCTAATGGCTACAATTTATTCTCATTTCTTTCATTGAGAACCATTCTCATGTGAACCTAACCCTAAATAAATATATATGTTTAAAAGTATCCTTAAAATATCTTTAAATTTGGCCTAATCTTCAAAAGTATATACAATATTATATATAAAAACACGTTTAAAGCTTACATACTTTACATAAAATAGACTGGTCTCAGTTTTAAATAAGGTTTGTTGCTGCCAATAGTGACATTTTTATTTTTATTGTAGTCCGATTTTTATTTTCATTGTAGTCTGATATTTTTGTTTCTGTATTTCGAATCTTGTAAAGGTTGGAGAATATGATTAAAAAATGTATCTATATATAAAGGATTTTTTCAAATTCTTTCAGATTGGCGTACATCAAATAAGGAATCATTATATGTTAGTTCACACTAGTAGGTAACCCGTGCGATGCACGGACTGTATTTGTTTTGGTAAAATTTATAAATTGAAGGTTATTAATCAATAACGTATAATACGTAGAACATTTGTCACTTGATCTAAAATATTCGTCATAAAAAAGTCATACATTATTAAAAACCTATTTGTACATAACATTATTGGTTTTTAATACAACCAACCCACAGGCTTGCTCCACCAAATTATTATATATGAAAAAGCAAAATTAAAAAATATCAAAATTTATAATTCTTTAATTTTTTAATACTACCACCAAACAATCTTGCCCTACTAAACTACATTATGAGAACTCATGGATAGCATTTCCCTTTATAACGACTCTCAAAACTAATAGTATTGTCCCTATAATAGATAAAATAATAATTTCAAACAAATAAATTTTTCTTAAATGTATATAACAATTAAATACCTTTATGCAAATACTTACTCCAAATCGAGAAGAGTAAAGTCAATCATTTGGGTATGTTGTCGTGCAACTTGCTTGTATTGCACTTGTTGAATTTCTACTATCAACCCAATGACATATACATTCATAAGA